CTTCCTCTGCATCCCGAGTGCTGGGATTAAAGGCATGCACCACCACCCTCTGGCCGAAAATAACATTTTTAAAGAAAGAGCAATAGGGCAATTTACCAAAGCCTTACCAGTTTCTTTCCCTTTTGAGTCAAGGTAGAACTAATGTTGCCAAGGATGACCGTGAACTCCTGGTCCCCAGTGTCTTCCTCTGAAGCATGGGTCCCAGGTGTGCAGCACCGTGTCTAGTTATCTAGACTCAGGCCTGTGCACATGCTAAGCAGGTATTCTACCCACTGAGCCACACTTCCAACCCTTCTCTTGTCTGATCCTTTTTTTTATTTCAAATTTTATTTATTTATATTTTATGTATGAGTGCTCTCTCTGTGTGCCTGCCAGAAGAAGAGGCATCAGGTCCTATTATAGAGGTTGTAAAGTGGTGAGCCACTATGTGGGTGCTGGGAATTGAACTCAGGTACTCTGGATGAGCAACCAATGCTCTTAACCACTGAGCCATTTCTCCAACCCGTTCCTTTTGTTTTTACCTTGCTGAAGAGTGTGCTGTTGTGAGCCTGTGGTGTTATTTTTAAAAACTGGGTGTGAGCTGAGGGTTCTCAGGTGTGTGCTCTGGGAATGGTTACATTCTGCCACATTCAGGTGACCACACTTGTGATGAGAAGCTTTCTGTCCCTGGCTGGGGAGGTCACTCAGTGGGACAGCTCTTTACTGTGCAGAGCTCTGGGTTTGATGCCCAGTCCCAAAAGGAATAAATCTTGCTAATAGCAACTATCTCAGAAAATTCCAATTACTTATTAAAGTCATCTTAATCTTTGATATCCTGTGGGGTAAGAGTGAATCTATGCTTTCACTTAAAGTGCATATTGCTCACTAAGAGGAGGAGTTTCAGTGTGTTTGTGTATACATACCACACATGTTGGTGTGTGTGTGTGTGCATGCATGTGTGTTTTAGTTGTGCACATGCATCAGTGTGCATGTGGAGGCCAGAGGTCGAAATCATGCATCTTCTTCCTCTTTTGCGAGTCTGTGTGCGGTGTGTTTGTGTTTATATCTTTCTGTGTGTGTCTCTGAGTATGCGTGTAATGAGTGTTTTTATGTCTTTTTGTATGTTGTGTGAGTCTGTGTATGGTGTGTTTGTGAGTCTGTATGGTGTGTGTGTACGCATACAGGCACACACATGTGCATAGCATGTGCACCACAGCATCTGGGGTCAGTCTTAGGCTTCCACCTCTTCTGAGACAGCTGCCTGTTTCAGAGATCATCATTCTTGAATGGCTAGCACTTTGAGCCATCTCTCTAGCCCTTCAACTTATTCTTTGAGTAAACTTCTCTCACTGAGTCTGGTGCTCATTGACTTGGCTGGGCTGGTGGCCAGTGAGCTCCAGGGATCCATCTGTGTAGAAGCATGCCATTGTGCTGGGTGTTTCCTTAAGCGCAAGGGATCCAAACTCAAGTTTGTAACTTTACTGACTTAACTTTAACTTAACTTCACACATCTCCCCAGCCCTGAGAAGGTTTTGGGCTGCCGCCACCACCACCAAGATATTTTATGGACTTTTAGAATTGTCTTCGTTATGCAGATTTACTCATTTCTGCTTTGTAACACGATGAGAATACTGTTTGTTGATAACCTTCTTGCCTCTTTCCATTCCAGAACTCTGCCCAGTCTTTCCCCTCACTCATCTCCCCCCACTCACTCATCTCCCCCACTCACTTATCCCCCATTCACCCGTCCCCCCACTCACCCTTCCGAAGTAAGTAGCCTTTCTCCTAGAACCTGTGAGGTTGATTTCTCCAAATGGCCAAAGTGCTGTATCTTCCAACAGATTTCAGAAAGTCTCTAGTTCCTGCCTGGCAGCTGGTTCAGTCAGTACTTAATTTGCAAGCCCCTCGTTTATAAATGACAGGAAATGCTCCTTTCAGAAATGCCCAAACAGTAGGGAAGGGAGAGTTGGCAGCCAGTGAGCCAGGCATGAGCTGGAGCTGTCTTAGCTAGCTGTGCTGGCTGCTTGCGGTTGGGTTGGCAGGAATAAACCTGTGGGCTCTTGTCTTTACACTTCTGATAGCTTCTTTACACTCTTCTCTGAAGCTGCCAAGATGACCATGAAGTGGTTAGCGTCCTGGTATGATGGGGGCAGAGGTACCTTCTATACGACTGAGTTGCTGGCCTGGTCTCGGTCAGATAGTTCCACATGGGTGCAGCAAACATTCCTAGGAAAATAAACTCTGCACCATGTGGAGCCTTGGTTTAATCCATATATATATATAAAGCTTCAGTATTTTGTTCAGGTCATAGAGTTGAGTAAACTTGGTTCCAGTTCCAGACCCAAATCTACTTAAAAACAACGCCTCCCTCCCCCAAGCACCTATCCTTCACGCCAAAGGAAAACACTGGCATGCTGCCAGGTTCCTGGAGGCTGCTCTCTAGGCTGCCAGGTTCCTGGAGGCTGCTCTCTAGGCTGCCAGGCACGGCTCCACGCCTTTGTGATGCTGAGATTCTGTTCCCTGCAAAGTAAATACACTTAACCTCACTGTTTGCTGTTGCTTGTATCTTCTCGATAGCGGGTGATTAGGAATTACTCACTGGCAGACTTGGCCAAGTTACGCAAGCTTTCGGCCTCGCAGCTTTGTTCTTGTTATTTCAAGACACAGCACAGTGCTTGCCAAGAGTCCGAAGGAAGCTTTGCCATAGGCATCTGGCAGCAGTCCACTGGGAAGCAGCTTGCGTCCTGTTACTAGCCTTCACCCTCAAAGAGTGTGTTCAGGAAAGGGTCTCCTATGTGTTTAGGACCGTGAACTGAAACCCAAGGATTTTGTCAGAAGGAAACGTTGTGCTGAACTGGGTCTCTTGAAATCTCAGAGGCTAATTAAAGCTGTAGGTAGAAGAGGCTTTTTTCTCCTATCTGCTTAGGTCTGCTATTCAAAATGAAACTGTGCTTATCTGGGACAGGTCCTGAGAACATGGCTTCTCATGCTGAATTCCATATGAGAACACGCTGTACCAGACAGTCAAGTGGACAGATGTTTCCATGAGCTGCCTGTGTCTTCAGAGGAAAATTCCCTTGTGAAATAATTTATGGCCAGCAAGATGGCTGGTGGGAATGGAACTGGAGCCAAGGAGCTGGGTGGTGTTGAGAAACACCCTAACCCAGCTTCAGATGGCCGACGAGCCACTTGAGTTGCTGTCTCCAGCAGTGCATGCCGACCATTGGGCGGTCCCCAGGCTGCTGCTTTCAACTCCTCACAGGACGTTGAGACCATCGCAGACCCCTCATGGGTCACAGTTGCCACTGTTGTACTGTGGGGTCATGGTCATTTCAGCTGTTTCCTAACAGTTCCTTTTCCAGAGCTGGGCTGGGGACTTCAAGAGACAGTTCTGTGAGATCTTCTTACCAAGTCATCTAGGTTTAAATTTCCTTCGGTAGATAGCTTCTTCCACCTCTAGAGATGTGACCCTATAGCATTTTCTTGAAAACTCAAATGCATACTCCTCTTTAGTGACGTATGTTTTCCTTCCCACTATATGTTTTTTTTTTAAAAAAAAAAAAAAACAAATTTCCTAAGTGCAACAAGCTCCAGAACAGTATTTTATCCTAATTACAGGTGACAGAGGTGTTAGGCAGGGAATTGAGATGTTTACGTAGGAATAGGAATGTGTCACATAATCTCAGCCCCAAGCAGCAGCTTCTTCAAGCCTTATCTTCCTCCTCATGGCAGCTTCTTGGACTCTTTCTGACATCTTCATGGCCCAACATAGCACCTGCGGCCCCTTCCCCAAGACACTTTTGATGGCTGTCTTAGGGTTTTAGTTGCTGTGAAGAGACACCATGACCACAGCAACTCTTACAGAAGAAAACATTTAATTGGGACTTGTTTACAGGTTCAGAGGTTTAGGTAATTATCATCATGTTGGGAAGCATGGTGGCAAGCAGGCGGACATGGTGCTAGAGAAGTAGCTGAGAGTTCTAAGTCTGGATTGGCAGGCAGCAGGAAGAGAAAGTGCTTGGCTTGGGCTTCTGAAACCTCAGAACCTACCCATAACGACACACTTTGTCCCACAAGGCCATACCTTCTAATAGTGCTGCTCCCTGTGAGCCTTTGGGGGGCCATTTTCATTCAAACAAACACATTGGCTAATGTTAAAATCTTCCTGAACACACTTCCTGTTGTTAAAAGGTAAGCAGAGAATGAGGTGCTTGAGCAGACTGCAGCTCCATTAGAACTCCCACTCCACGCTGGTACTGCCCCTTGGGACAGCTCTGTGAGGAGGAACTCAGTCGCTGAGCTGTCTGAGTGACCATGTCCTTCAGCCCTGCTGTAATGACTGAGGGAGGAGCCTGGAGAGGGCACAGTGACCAATGTGAGGCTGGGAGAGTGAAGGGTGCAGATAAGTCCATTTGCGCTTTCAGAATGGTTTCTGATTGTATGTAAGATGCCAAGGGAGAGCGTGGAGGAAGCAGCTACAGTGTAGAAAGATAATGGTATTTGGTATGGTTTGTACATATGGAGAAGTTTTTCCCTTAGAGTTCTTTACTCTCTGTGTTTAAGAAATGAAAACCTGGGGCTGGGGATTTAGCTCAGTAGAATACTTGCCCAGCAACCACAAGGCCTTGGATTTGGTCCTTAGCTCTGGAAAGGCAGGGAGGCAGGGAGGCTAGCGGTCTGCCTAAAGTCTGGAGTTTGTATCCTTTGCTGCTGTCTAGTTTGTGATGTGTAGTCTGCAGCAGCCTTGGATCTAGGCTCTATGATCTAAATACACAATAGAAAGAAGGCAAAGCATCTATAATCTGGTGAAGTTTTGAAATTTAGGAAACCCGTTTAGACAAAAGTGAGATTTTTAGACCAGTGTGACTTGGTAGGTGAACCCTGCTTGACTCATTGTGGATTCCCAATGACCTTCCTAGTATTCCTGCTGGGACAAGAAGGTGCTCATCCCAGAGGTGAGGGTGCCAGTGATTTATTTTATAGCAAATAAGCATTCATGCCCTGACTTTCTTCTCTTACAGCAGTCGGAAACGGAGACTGTGCACCTGTTTATTCCTGCTCTGTCAGTTGGCGCCATCATTGGCAAGCAGGGCCAGCACATCAAACAGCTTTCTCGTTTTGCAGGAGCTTCGATTAAGGTACTGTTCTGAAACCATGGCTCTTCTGTTATCTAAGAAAGTGAAAGTGGCGGGCTGAATTCAGGTTAGATAACCATAGGACAGGAACTCTACAGCCGTGGTTTAACTGTGGTTAGATAGTCTCTCTAGAAAAATCAGTCTGTGGAGAAGCACAATTGCACAATATCTCCATGCCTCTGAGACCTTGACTTACAACTTCCTCTGGCTCATCTTCACAGTAGTGCTCTTAAAAGCCACATCTGTTACCCGGCCTTTGAGGACAGGAGGACATAGTGAAGTCTGTCTATAAGGGAGTTGCCTGTTGGTTGCTATGGGATATTTTTGTCTATATTACATTCTCAGCACTTGGCCAGGCAAAGCTGAAGGGGCAGCAAGGAAATGGAGTTTGTGTTGTCAGCGAAGCATTTACTGTGTAGATGTGGGACCACTCGTGTCCCTCCTGAGAAATCACTGTGTGCTCTGCATTTCCCAGTGCTGAAGCAATTCAGAATTAGACATACACATCTGTGCATGAGCACATGTATATACGTATATACGTGCAGGCCACAGGTTAATGTCTCCTCAGTCACACCTACCTTATTTTCTGGGTAGGGTGCCACTGACCAGCTTACTAACTCAGTGGGCTGCCTGGCCAGTGAGTTTTCAGGAATCCTCCTGTCCTTGCCTTTCCAGCTTGGGATTGTTTTTATGGGTGCTGGGGACCCAAACATTCTTTCAACTGAGCCGTGTCCCCAACCTTGGGTTGTTGCTTTAAGATGAAGGTCGCCATGTTGTAGGAAGGCTGCTTGTTCATTTCCCAGCTGCCCAGACTCCCAAAATAATCACAAAGAAAGTGTAATAATTAAATCACTTCTTGGCGTATTAGCTTTAGCTTCTTATTGGCTAGCTCTTACATATTAATTTAACCCATTTTTACTAATCTGTGTATCACCACATAGCAGTGGCTTTTGGACAAAGTTTTGGCATGTCTGTCTCTGGTGGTGGCTCCATGGCTTCTCTCTGTCTCCGCCTTCTGCTATAGGCTCAAAGCAGTTTCTTTATTAACCGATAGTATTCACAGCATACAGAGGGGAATCCCACATCACCTCCCCTTTTCTGTGTAAATAAAAAGGAAGATTTTGACTTTAACATAGTAAATTTACATATAACAAAACAGGTATCAAGCAAGAATTACAGTTAGAATATTTGTATCTACTTTATCTTTTATCATAACTAAGGAAAACTTTATATAACTATATATTGTCAACTCCCATCAAAAACTCCAGAAGGATATAATATTACCTAAGTAAACAGGAAGTGCATTGTAAGCAACTTCCAAAACTCTAGAATTGACAGAGACAGCTCGCTGCCTGGACAGTCACCCAGTGTTCTTCTGTACCTTTGGAGCATCCATCTTCAGCCTACAGGCACTCAGTATCTGGAAGACTTTTCCATGAAGCAGGAAATTTCAAGGACAGTTCTGCCTATATTGGCAGTTTGTTAGTCACTTTCTTCTATGTCCTGCATAATGTCTGGCAGAATCTTTCATGAAGTAGGAACCCTGAAGGATCATCTCACCTTTAGGCATGTTCATCAGTCATTTGTCTGTGGGTCCTGCATGTCCAGTTCACACAGTATACCATCAAGCAGTCCAAGCAAGAGCAGTTTCTTGCTCAAATGGCTAACAAACTCAATGAGGAGCCTCTTCAATGCCCATTCTCCTCTTGAAGTAGATTGGTGCTGCCAGGAGCAAATGTGTCATGAAAAGCCTTAAGTTCTTAAAACATTTTAAATGCCATATTCTGAAGGTCTCTGAAAGATTTGAAGAACACCCATCTAACTGAAATGTCTCTATCTAGAAAACCTAACAAACATGACTATAAGCTTGACTATTATGAATGATTATCTATTAACCTATATTTCTTAATTATACGTGACATTTTTAAATGAACTGCACAATCACAATATCTTAATCAAGAGCAGAAATATACATCAATAGACCAAGAGCCACACCAAATGTGTAGCAATTGTCAGGGTCTCTCAGTTGAATCCGGAATTTAATCAGTAAGGCTACTTTGCTCCCTGGTTTGATCTGAGGAACCCATCATTGACTCTGTCCTGGAATTAGAGGTGGGGACACTAACACCATAGTCCTTTCCACTATACAACACAAGCATCTCCTCAGCCCAGATTTCTTTAAACGCCTTGTGGGGACACTAAATCCTTCCTTGGACTCTAGGCATGCTGGCTCCTCCCCCTAACATTTTCACTGTTTCCCCAGCCTGAGCTTTTATGATTTCATACACTCCATGAAAACAGAAGTCTGACTTTACCAGGATCCTGCTCAGTTAATATTCAAACAGTGTACCTTAAGAAATCTATAGTTTCCTCCCTCCCCTCATTTTAAGTTTGAGAGGCACAGCTGCCTAAACAGCATTACCTTTTCCTCTGAAAGCCAAGGAGATGCCATGGTTGTAGTGGCCTCACAACTTACGAGTCCAGAGCTCCACACTTCAGGTACATGTAGTTGCTACTGGAAGCCAAGCAGTGGACACAGCCAGCTCCTTCATGTCCTCAGCCTTCAGTGCTCCCTCCCTCTGAAAAGTGATCATTCTTCAGCTAGATGTGGTGTGGGTTGGCTCAGTGATGGTCCATGCAGTTTACATTAGAGAGGCACCTTGTGAATACTCAGTAAATAGTGTGCACTATCTGACTGGCCCATATTAATCACAGCCTCTCCATAATTCCTTTCCAGAAGGCATTTAATTCCACAGCTCAGTCAGTCATGTGCAGATGTCAAGCTGGTTGGCCTAAGGTTTGTCAGTGACACCAGAAAGTATCATAACTGGCTGGTGATGGGTCTGTTACAGATCGCTCCAGCCGAAGCACCGGATGCTAAAGTGAGGATGGTGATTATTACTGGACCACCAGAAGCTCAGTTCAAGGTATGTGCAGTGGAGGGTACAGGTAACCAGAGGGAGCAAGATGGCTGCTGCTTCAGTGGAAATTCTAAATTGTGGAGCCATGCCACAATTAGGTCATAAACATAAGCCAAGAGCCTTTAGTTCTGTGGGGTGTTGGTTTCCTGTCACCATTGACATGATGAAATCTTAACACTGACACACACACCTGCCTGCTAATGACCCTTGTAAACCTGTCCTCAGTGTCTCCTTCTGTCTTGGAGATGCTCTAACCTTTACAGTGGCCCCTTTTCCCTTTTCTCTTACCCTTCACTGTTCTAGGATTTTAGTTAGAAAGGCTGGACCTAGAGCGGCATGTGACCTGGCTTGAACTGCTGCATGTTTATTGCTACCTGGGGTCTTTAGAGCTGAAAAATCTCCATGTGTTTCTGAGGTGGTGGAGACAGTGTGACAGCTAGACCCTCATTTCAAATCCTAGTTTAGCCATGTGTGACCTTAAACAAGTTACCTCTGGGCAGTGGTGGCACACGCCTTTAATCCCAGCACTCGGGAGGCAGAGGTAGGCGGAACTCTGTGAGTTTGAGTCCAGCCTGGTCTCCAAGAGCTAGTTCCAGGACAGGCTCCAAAGCTACAGAGAAACCCTGTCTTGAAAAAAAACAAAAACAAACAAACAAACAAAAAAAGTACAAGTTACAGTTCTCCCCAGTTCCCCTATAGAATGGACAGAAGTACGTCTATCCTAGCTGTAAGGTACAAGCAACATATACAATGCTTAGAATAGTGTCTGAAATACTAGCACACTCTCACATGCTGCGCCTGATGATGGCCAACTCTGAGCCAGTCAGTGAAGCCACTACAGCTACAGGTGCCTTCATTCCGGTGAATGGTTAACGTGGGACATCTTGTCTCAGGCAACTGCTGAATTCTGTTCATAAATTCAACACTTACATCTTTTTTTAAAAGTTAGTTTGTTTGTTGTTTATGGGAGGATCATACACATCATGGCATGCACGTAAAGGGCAGAGGACAACTTGTGTGGGTTCTGGAGATTGAACTAGGCTGTTGGGCTCAGTGGCAAGTACTTCACCTGCTGAGCCACCTCAGCAGCCCAACCCCTGTATCTCGGTCCTTGTCCACTGACAGCATTCACTGTCAGCCTCAGTCTCTGCTATCTGTGCACACACCATTACACTGCCAAAGTTCACTTCATTGTCCCTAGCTGGGAAGGAAAGTACTAACCCAGAGTTTTGCTATGCAAGTGCTCTACTCTGCCTTGACCTATGCCCCAGACCTTCTTTCTTGTTTTGTTTTAGCCATCAATTAAAGAATTGAGTCATTGAAAATCCAGAGCTGCTTTCACATCTTTTGCAGAGAGAATAGTACACACAAATGCTTTGATATGTTGAATAGCCACTGCCTAGGCATCAAGGTGAAGTCTGCCCGTCCCAGCAGCCTCATGGGTCCATCAGTTCATGCCATTATGTTATAAACTGGGCCATGAGCGTGACAGCGCATGTGAGAAACCACAGATTTGATACTCACCACATATGCATACACATATGGTACAAACATGCAGACAAACCACTCATACACAGAAAATAAATTTAAATTTTTTTATAGATTTTATTCATTTTATGTATGCAGGTGTTTTGCCTGCAAGTATGTCTGTATATCAGGTACATGTCCATAGAGACCAGGAAAGGGCATCAGATCCCTGGAACTGTAATTACAGAGGTTGTTAGTTATCATGTGGGTGCTGAGAATTGAACCTGAGTCCTCTGGAAGAGCACCCAGTTCCCTTAACTGCTGAGCTATCTCTCCAGCCCCAAAAATTTTAAAAAAAAGAAAAATTTGTCTTTTCTCTAATCCCCTCAAATGAGCTTAGCATCTCTGTATCCATGAACACATGGCTATTTGGGTTATTATGGTTTATCTTATGAACTTGGCCTAACTTCCCAACTTAGACTTCTTTCTCCTTTGAAATGAATGAAAACAAATTAGCGGTTACACAAGAGGTTCCTTACATACAGCATCTAGTTGTACACAGTACACAGGGCATGTTAGTGAAGTACCAGAAATGTCCATTAACTTGATTTCTGCAGCCTTTTTAGGGGGAAGGGAAGGGAGGAAGAGGAAGATAGGCTCTCACTCTGTAGCCCAGGCTGGCCTCAGATTGCAACAATCTCCTCTTCAGCCTCTCAAGTGCAGGGACCACATACCAAACCTGTCGTGCTCAGTCTTTTAGCCTCCATAAAGCTGAAGTCACCTGAATAAGAGAGCTGTTTTGGCTGGTGTCTGTCCTGTTTAGACAGGGCTTGGCTCCTTTTGGGCCTGGCATCCCTGGCTGTGTAGTTCTATCCTAGTTTCTTTTGCTCAAGAAAAATGGAATCTGTTTCTTAACTGCCAGAGGAGAGGCTTTAGGAGTGGGAATGGCCATTTCCCATAGCCATTTTTAATTAGTCCTACTAATTGCCTTTATTGTCAGCAGAATATGGCTTATTCTTTTTTTTAAATATTTATTAATTTATTATGTATACAATATTCTGTCTGTTGGTATGCCTGCAGGCCAGAAGAGAGCACCAGACTCCATTACAGATGGTTATGAGCCACCAGGTGGTTGCTGGGAATTGAACTCAGAACCTTTGGAAGAGCAGGCAATGCTCTTAACCTCTGAGCCATCTCTCCAGCCCCTGTGGCTTATTCTTTGTGTTGGTGTGCAGAGTGGGTCTCTCGATAACACTGGTACAAAGGCATCATTGTACTTTGTTCCCTGGTGCATCCTCCTCCTGTCAGTAATTTATTTGCCGTGCCTGTGAAGCACAGATACTGTCAACCCTCTGGGGCTCCTCGCTGCTGTCTCTTACACTGTTGTCAGTCTTCATCCCAGATGTACCGCTGCAATGGTGTATATTCCAGGCTCATTTAGGCTGTCTTCAAAGTTAACCGGCCTTTTCTTTCAAGTATGAATGACACTGATAGACTGTATTGTCATCTGTAGGCTCAGGGAAGAATTTACGGAAAAATTAAAGAAGAAAACTTCGTTAGTCCTAAAGAAGAGGTGAAACTTGAAGCTCACATCAGAGTGCCATCATTTGCTGCTGGCAGAGTTATTGGGAAAGGAGGCAAAACGGCAAGTACCTCCGTAGGAGCTGCACCATGCTGGAGGAGCTGCAGGGACCTAGCTCCTCCCTGGAGCTTAGGCTCCTTTTTTTTTTTAATTGAAAAAAATTTCCACCTCCTCCCAGCCTCCCATTTCCCTCCCCCCACTCCTCTCCCCCTCCCTCTCCAGTCCAAAGAGCAGTCAGGGTTCCCTGCCCTGTGGGAAGTCCAAGGTCCTCCCCCCAGGTCTAGGAGGGTGAGCATCCAGACTGGTTAGGCTCTCACAAAGCCAGTACTTGCAGTAGGATCTAAACCCAGTGCCATTGTCCTTGGCTTCTCATCATTCTCATCAGCCCTCATTGTCCGCCATGTTTAGAGTCCAGTTTTATCCCATGATTTTTCAGTCCCAGTCCAGCTGGCCTTGGTGAGCTCTCAATAGATCAGCCCCACTGTCTCCGTGGGTGCACCCCTTGCGGTCCTGACTTCAAGAACCTTCATCCGGCAATGGATGGAGATAGAGACAAAGACCCACATTGGAGCTTTAGGCTACTTTATATAAAGTAGAACCATGTTGGCCAGGGTTTGGAGAAGCTCCCTTGTGACTGTAGCCTGCTAGTGAGACTTCTGCATATTTCAGACCAGGGACTTGTAAGGGGCATCCAGCATTATCTGACACATAATAACCTGGACTTTTTCTTCTATAAACCAAAGGAGATGGCTGAAATTTTACAGATCTCACACTGAAAAAAGTAGTTTGCAGTCATCCTCAATGAAGTTATTTCCAGATTTCTACCTTTCAAGTAACAGAACAAAGCAGAGCAGAACTGGGGTTAAAGTGGGAGCTGCAGCTCAGAGAACTATTAGGGATGAAATGAACTCTGTAGTTGGCAAAAATTAATTGCTTGGAAATAGGCTTTGAATGCTTAGTAATGTGACTTTTATCTGTTTTAGGTGAATGAACTCCAGAATTTATCAAGTGCTGAAGTTGTTGTCCCCCGTGACCAGACACCTGACGAGAATAACCAAGTAGTTGTCAAAATAACTGGCCATTTCTATGCTTGCCAGGCAAGTTGCTTCTAAAATGGCAGGTTAAGCTGTCATAGGGGCTCCCATTCCATATATACACACACACACACACACACACATACACACGTATGAATGTATTGTATGTGGACCTCTTGGGTGCTTAGGATTCAAGATATTGGGTGGGGGTGCCAAAGTATGCTATTCCTGCTGTTACCCGTGTAGCTTTGGACTCCTAGGCTTCAGAGGTCCCCACACCTCAGCTTCTGCCCCCATGCACCCTAATGCCTGGCTGTGCTTGGCTGATCTAGTTGTCCTTTCAGCCAGCACACTGGTAAGTATTTCAACTTGATGCTTTGAACTAGAGTAACTCTGGACTCTGCAGGTTCTATGACGTCTGTCTCTTTGTAGGTTGCCCAGAGGAAAATTCAGGAAATTCTGAACCAGGTGAAACAGCAGCAGCAGCAAAAGGCCCTACAGAGTGGACCCCCTCAGTCAAGGCGGAAGTAAGGGCTCAGGAGACAGCCACCACAGAGGCAGATGTCAAACCAAAGACAGATTTGCTTAACCAACAGACGGGTCTGACCCATCCAGAATCACATGCACGAGTATTTCCCTAGCCCGTTGTTTCTGAGGACCAGGCAACTTGAACTCCTGTCTCTGTGAGAATGTAAATTTTATGCTCTCTGAAATATATGACACCCAGCTTTAAAAAAAGAAAAGGAAAAAAAAGGTGGGGATGGGGAAAGAACTCCGCACTTCCCTTGTGATATCAAAGTATAACAGATGTGCTAATTTTAACATCCTCCATAATGCCAGAAGTTGGCATAAATGGTACATTCATTAAATTCATCAAATAAATTAGAAAAAATAGATCGTTCCTAAGTCCAATTGTTGAAATTGGACCGCAGTAGAATTACCACAGGAACATGCTGTTAAGCCACTAGAGTAGAAGTATTTCCTGTTTCTCTAACACTAACGTGGATAACCGAAGGGAAGTGCCGACCGCTCTTGCGGGGTATTAGACGTGCATTTTTACTCAACTACCTCAGGTATTCAGTAATGCAGTTAAAAGCAAAATTATTCCTTTTTTGAAAATTTTATATACTTTATAAAGAAACTCCAACCATTTTTTAAAAAAAAAATAAAAATTTAACAGTTATCAGGTGATAGGCAAATAATTGAGAAAGGAATTTTACGTCTGGCTGATGACAATAAAGGTGGAAAATTAATTTTGCATTTTTTGAGCCATTTGACAGTAGTTGGAAAGAGAAGGAATAGTGCCTACTCTCGGAGAGCAGCGGTACCATGTATCCCTTGTTTGTAGCTGGGAGGGTCAATGGCACTCACAGCAGAGCGGTGGCGGGTTTCGGGACGGCTAGTGTAAAGAGCTTCAGAAGACTTGGTTTGTTTGGCTATGTGCGTGAATGCCTAAGTGCTTTGTCACTGTGCTACCGATGAAGCGTATCACTGCAGAAGTGCAGAACTTAAACACAATCAGCTTGTGAACACACTTGAGATCAAGCAATACTGTGAGCAGACACCTAAAGAATGGCTTTGTGGAGACCAGGGGAGTCAGAGGCCTGACGGTGAAGGCGACAGAAAGCGATCTCCTGGCGCTGTTGTGGGCCTAGACTATTTGGAAGGAAGTCCGCCGAAACTATTACACAGGATGCGGCAGGGTCTGTTTGCCCTGCTCACCTGGCAGCAAACGGTTTTGGGAAAATGATTGCCGAAACACTCGACTATTGAAGCAAGCCTTTGCCCTTCCCCTCACTTGTGTGGAGACTTGTGGGCGGTCCTCAAGGCCATGCTGCTCTCTGAATGCTTTTGTTACTTTGCTCATAAGGTGGTTACAGCCATACCACACTGGCCTTGAGGGCATTATGTAACCTTTCAAAAAATCATTTTGCCTCATTTATATTTTAGATTAACTTCTACATGCTTTCAAGTTTCTCTGAACTTCAGCATTATTTAGACATTATGAAAATGAGTTGAAATGTCCAACATTTTCATAAAACCAGCTTATTTTGTAGTTTTAACCAAAAAATGCCCCCTTTTTACAATTGAATTCATATTTCTTTCATACAATGGATTTAAACTGCTTTAAAAAAAATGTGACCTGTTCCCCTGCTTGGATTTCAGGGGAGATGTGTTTAAGGCCAGAACTCTTCCTCAATATTTGGTTTTTCCAGTGTTTGTTTTTTTTTAACTGACAGGTGCTCCATTTATATCTGCTGGTCTGTCTCACTTCTGCCATGTCTCACGTCTAGCCTTTCAGTGCAGCAAACCATGCTTCACTTTCACTTAGGCATTGGTAGTCTGGAGTACCTGGTGCTAGAGGAATCTATAATTGAGTTTTGTATTCGCCATATATGGATCATTCCTCATCTATAATGTGCCCCAGATGCAGCTTCGTTTTCCAGGTACCTTGGTGCAGAATAAAGTTTTCATCATAAGCCACAGCTTTTTGTAGTCTGTTTTCAGTTGAGTGTTCCTGAATTTGTTCCCACAATATGCATCTTACACTAGGCAATAACCTACCGGTAAGTTGTTTTTGTTATTTTTTTTTCCGGCTCTGGTACATTAAGATGAACTTAGATTATCCTATTTAATGTGAACTAATAACTAAAGATTTGCATAATTTTTCCTAATAATCTAAATATTCTACTTAGTGTTCTGGAAGGGTTATACAGATACTCTTTTTTTTTTTTTTTTTTGGTTTTTCGAGACAGGGTTTCTCTGTGGTTTTGGAGCCTGTCCTGGAACTAGCTCTGTAGACCAGGCTGGTCTCGAACTCACAGAGATCCACCTGCCTCTGCCTCCCGAGTGCTGGGATTAAAGGCGTGCGCCACCACAGCTCGGCCCAGATACTCTTTTCAAGCTCTGGCCATTCCACAGTATATAAGATTGACATTTAAACAAATTTAATAATCTGAGCAGAGAACTTGAGTTAATATTGGGGGATCAGTGCTAGTAATTCTGGTATGATCTCAAAAGTAAAGGCAGTATGCTGAAAAACTGGGACTGAATTCCTGGTTCTTGGTCTGTGAGCTAATTTATCTCTAGTCTCTGCACAGCTGCCATCAGCATGAGTGTCCAAGAGGTAGAGAGAACTTAGAGTGGCCGAGCAGACAGGGCAGGACCTGCACTTGCAGGTGGCTCACGTCTAAGGGATGAAAGGCATTGCTTTTATTCACATTTCAACTCCACTGGAGTCGGGGATGAGGCGTCATCTTCTAGTCCAAGAATGAAGTCTTCAGGTAACGTTTCGGCTTCCATCTGAGCTAACTGGTCATCAAAAGAACGTAGAGTCCATAATTTCTCTAATTCATAGGTTTCTCTGGTTTCTGGAAGCATCAAATGGATCACCATACTGCCTATCAGGAACAGATAAAAATTCCATTGAAAAAGATTCATTTGCTTATGTTTTTATCAATGCATCTGTCCCTCACCCAGACTTGTGGGCAAATGGTAGACCCCTTCCTGTACAGTGATGCTGTGCCTTTGTTAGCATGGAAATGAGGTCAACATGGAGCACAGTGACCACTGTTAACCTTATCCAGAGAATGTAAGATGGTCTGTCAGTTTCCTCTGGTCATACCCTCAACAACTGTCTCCCAAGTTTTACTTTTCTGCACATCTTGTGAGCAAAGAAGGTTTCAAAGTTCTATAAGATAGGGCTCACCTCCAGGAGAAAGGACAGCTCTGCTCATTCAGTGTCTACAGACGTCTTTATCTGTCCTAACTGGAGAGAGGGGAGTGGGTACTGCTACTTGGCATCCTGTGCTCAGGCAGCACCGCCAAGTGGGCCTGCTTCCTCCATAAAAGACGCTCGATGTACATGTTATCTGACCACACAAAGTTTATGATACTGATTACTGCCACTGCTGCAAGAAACACACTGCTTTTTCAGAATGGTCCTGTCTTCATGAAATTAGAAAGACAACTTGTCAGCTTGTGAGTTGGTTAGTTTCATGTCAACTTGACCTAAGCTATAGACATCTGGGAAAAGGGAACCCCAATTGAGAAAAAGCCTCAAAGGTTGGGCTATAAGCAGGCAAGCCGATAGGGCATTTAATTAGTGATTGATGTGGGGGTACCATCTCTGGGCTGGTGGTCCTGGATTCTATAAGAAAGCAGGCTAGCTGGGCAGTGGTGTGTTGGCGCACGCCTTTAATCCCAGCACTTAGGAGGCAGAGGCAAGCAGATCTTTGTGAGAGGGGCCAGCCTGATCTACAGAGCTAGTTCCAGGTCAGGCTCTAAAGCTACTGGCCTCTGCATAAGCTCCTTCTTGCCCTAATGGCTTTTAAATTACCAACTGTTATATGGAAGTGTGAGTGAGACAAATCCTTTTCTCCCCAAGTTGCTTTTGGTCATGGTTCACCACAGCACTAGTGACCCTAACTATGACAGCTTGCAAGCAGGCTAAAATCTCAGAAGCCTTTCTCCTGGCCAGAGTGAGCATACAGCTATTGTTTTCCTTCAGTAGCACATATCTGGCTGGAAGGTGTTTTAAAACTGGCATATTAATATACCTGTTACTCATCTCTGTAGCTCTTGCATATAAGGCATAGAGTCTATCTAGAGTCTATCCAGAGTCTATCCAGAGTACTTTAGTTAGGCAAAGCTTTCACATGTGAATAACACCACCTGAGCTATAATTAAATCAAATTTTTATTACTTGAAACATTTCAAAATTCTTAAATAATGCATATACCAATTTTATTTCTATCCTTTTGCAGTTGAAAATGAGGTTTAAATAATGGGTATTTATCTATAAGCTGCACAACAGTGACTTACCAAAATCCACACACAGCCAGTCATCAGTGTCCTTCCCTTCAATTTTGACATAAGGGTCACTTCTACATTTCAGGTGTTTATACTGAAAGACAAAAGCAGGCCATATATTTAGGGGAGAGTCCTCTGTGTCTACTTAGGCCCCAGTGAGTTTTCTTAGACTGAATTTGGGGACCAGCTAATTCACTTCTCACAGCTATCACAGACAATTATGATTGCCCCATGATTCATAATTCAGAGAAAATTATTTTCTCCTTAAACCCTCTCATTGGTTATATGCCTCTGGACTCAAATTGCCCAGGTTCTTCCAAGAAGGCCACCTCACTCATCCTCCAAGTGCCTGCGCACTCTAGTTCACCCACATGTGCCCACCCCTCCCCTGGGAAGCAGACATCGCTCTCCTAGGTCTCAGTGCTGACTTCATGCAAGCTCAGGACATACTACAAAGCATCTAGTGTATGGTAGTCCCTAAAGAACTACTACGGCCCGTCAGTGCTTGCCTGTAGATACTACCAACAGAGAAGTGTTACAGGAGATGCAGGGGCATTCTAAGGACAAGGGAGCTGAGACAGGACTGCATGCTGTCTCACCAAGCCATCTTCCCAGTGCTCTCCACTTTATACAGGGTCTTGCTTTGTAGCCTCAGCTGGCTCAGAATCAGAATCCACAGCTCCCATATAGAAAGCAGAGAAAGCAGGGCAGTGGTGGCGCACACCTTTGGTCTAAGCATTGCTTAGAGGGAACTTGTAAATCCTGAAATACTGCACTGAAATCCTGACTGCAGCTCAACAGACAAACATATATTGTAAAGAACAAGGAAATAAAAATGGATACCACCCAAACACATGACAAGAATGTCCGCTTGGACTGGAAGTTCTAGCCAGAACAATTAAATTAAAAAAGGCATTCAAATTGGGGGTAAAATAATTTCAAAATTAACAAAATAGGAATAAGCTTGGCAATGGAGGAAAAGGCTTGTGCACTGCAAACCATAAAGCGCTGCTAAAATAAAGGTGTTAATAAATGGAGAGATGCCCATGTTGTGGATTGGTAAGATTCTGTTGCTATGGTAAAACACCAGGACCAGTGCAACTTAGAGAAAGCTCATTTTGGCTTCTGATTCCTCAGCTGAAATAGTTGTGGAGAAATGGCGGCAGGGGGCTGGAGTGGGAAACTGAGATCACATCTCTGACCACAAACACAAAGCAAGCGGGTGAACTGGAAGTGGGATGGGGCTATGAACTCCACACTCCAGTAGTATACTTTGTCCAGCGAAACTGCACTTCCCATAACCTTCCCACCATCTGGGGACCAGGTGTTCAACTATCTGAGTCAATAAGAGACATTTTTCATTCAAATCATTATATATGCCAATACTTCTCAAAGCAACCTCCAGACTCAATGTGATCCCCTTCAAAATCCAAGAATGTATTTTAAAGAGAATCCATCATCACATGGAGATGGGATCTCTGGGAACACTAAACAGTTAATATAGTCGATGGTCTTACACACTCAGATTTTAAAACTTCCTACCTTCCTACTAGGGCTAGAGGTGAGACAGAGTGGTGAGGTGACTAAAGCCCTGAATTCATCCCCAGAACAAAACACCACTATCCCAAAATTTAGTACAAAACTAACTGGTCAGGATAGTATAGTGCTGGCATATAGTTAGAAACAGACCAAACAGAAATAAACCCTTATATAATATCATGGTCAAATGATATTCAAGGGCTGAGACCATTCAGTGGGAAAATGGGGACAGTCTTTGAAAAAACAATGCTGAGGAAATCTGATATGTAGAAAACTTTATAAAAATTCATTCAAAATGTGTTAAAATACCTAACCATAAAACTTGAAACTAAAACTCTGGAAAGAAAAGGGAATAACTTCATGAGAACTAAATCCTTCTGAACCAGGGGTACAGTTCAGTGGTAGGATGTTTGCCGGCAATGCTCAAGACCCTGGGTCTCACCCGAGCAGCACAGCACATCAAGTGACACTATCTACAAGGTCAAATGACACTATCCACAAGGTCAAATGACCACCACAGAATGACAGAATCTGCAGGTCATGTATTTGACAAGGAATTTATATGTAAAAAACAGACCTTTTAACAACAAGACTAATTTCTTTAAAAAAACATGCAATGTATAGATGAACAGATACCTTTCCAAAGAATTTATATAGCCAACCAAAACTAGTAGTGACTATATTGCTATAGGCAATGTATCGATGAATGGACATTCTCCCAAAGAATGTATACAGCCAACAAAAGCTAGTAATTAGTAATGACTCTACTACTAATCAATGCAAATCTGAACCATGGTATGCTATTTCACACCCAATAAGACACCTACTATCAGAAAAGCAGAGTGGAATTTTGGTCAGAATGGAAAAATAGAAACATTGACACTTGTGAGAACAAAAACTATATATAGCAGATCCTTAAAAAGTGCACACTGGGCATTCGGGCCTTTGGCTCCAGCAAGAACAGAAAGCACTGGCTTCTCGAGGGCAGCAAAGTGCCTCTGGTTTCTGAGGAACCAGGAAACACCCAGAACAGGATTCCAGCCTTGAGATCAGTGCAGGAACTGTGCTTCAGCTTCAGTGTGCCCAGGGTCCTCTGACAGACTGGGACTTGGTTCCAGAGGTATTCAAGGTCATTGTGGGTATGGCTTCTGGACCCCCACCCCCACCCCTGGGTTTCACTGTAGTTTTTTGAGCCTATCCTGGAACTAGCTCTTGTAGACCAGGCTGCCTCAAACTCACAGAGATCCTCCTGCCTCTGCCTCCCAAGTGCTGGGATTAAAGGTGTGTGCCACCACAGCCAGGATAAGGGCTGATTTCTAAGACTGCAGGGGTCACTGCAGGATCCTGAGTATGTAGCTATCTTCCCTGAGGTTATTTTGAGCCTGAGGCCATAACTCCCAAGTAATAGACAGACTTCATTGTGTCTGAAGTTTGGTATCCTTCCTCTAGCAATTCACACTCCACCTGGTTGCCTTCATACATGGTGTGCAGCCCTACCCTCGATGGGCCTGGCACATGCCCAAGACAAGATCGCCTCAGCAACTCAATTTCACTAGTCCATAGAGCTGAAGTTCGGCATACAGTCTCAACCTTCCTAATATGGCAAACCTTTAACACATTGTACTGGCGCCACCATAAAATTATTGTCATTGCTTTTTCATAACTATAATTTTGGTACTGTTATGAATCACAAATGTCTGTTTTCAGATGGTCTTAGGAGACCCCTGTGAAAGAGACATTTGACCCTAAAAGGGGTCATAATCGACAGGTTAAGAACTGCTCCTCGGGGGCTGGAGAGATGGCTCAGTAGTTAAGAGCATTGCCTGCTCTTCCAAAGGTCCTGAGTTCAATTCCCAGCAACCACATGGTGGCTTACAACCATCTGTAATGAGGTCTGGTGCCCTCTTCTGGCCTGCAAGCATACACAGAGAAAGAATATTGTATACATAATAAATAAATATTTAAAAAAAAAAAAAAAAAAAAAAAGAACTGCTCCTCTAGGAAGAGTTTCAGAAAACAAAATATTTGACAGGCTCAGAAGGGTGTCAGAACAAACCCACTCTGACATGCCTGTCCCAACCCACTGACTCCCATAGAGACTCCAAAACTAGAGAGTCCAAATGCCTGAGAAAGAATTCAGCTTTATTTTTTTTAAGAATTAATGCTCATATAAAAATTCAAACAACTCGGGAGGCAGAGGCAGGCGGATCTCTGTGAGTTCGAGGCCAGCCTGGTCTACAAGAGCTAGTTCCAGGACAGGAACCAAAAGCTACGGAGAAACCCTGTCTCGAAAAATAAAAAAAAAAAAAATTCAAACAAAGAAATGCACAGATTAAGGAAATCGATTCAAGACTTTCACAAGGCAGTCTCCAAAGTGATTGTAACAGTTACTAAATTGAAGGCAAAAGTCTAAATGTGGGGAAAAAAATTCAGCAAGAAGATTGAAATGTTGAAAAAACAATCAAATATTTGAATGCCGGGTGGTGGTGGCACAAGCCTTTAATCCCACCACTTGGAAGGCAGAGGCAGGCGGATCTCTGTGAGTTCGAGGCCAGCCTGGTCTACAAGAGCTAGTTCCAGGACAGGAACCAAAAGCTACGGAGAAACCCTGTCTCGAAAAACCAAAAAAAAAAAAAAAAAAGAAACCCTGTCTCAAAAACAAAACAAAACTTCAAAAAAATTAAATATTTAGGGATTTATCCAGCCAAAGAAGAGAAAGAGCACTACAAAAGAAGCTTCAGGACACTGGAAAAGAAAAATCACAGAAGATACAAAGAAAAGACATACCCTGCTCTTGAAATTGACAGATAGCATGAAAACAGCTTTACTGCCTGAATTAATTTACTGACAATGCAATCCCTACCAAAATTCCAGTGTAATATTTCACAGGATTTTTTTGTTTTGTTTTACTTTCCTTTGCTTTGTTTGGTTTGAGTTTTCAAGACAGGGTTTCTCTGTAGCTTTGGAGCCTGTCCTGGAACTCGCTCTGTAGATCAGGTCGAACTCACAGAGATCCACCTGCCTCTGCCTCCCCAGTGCTGGGATTAAAGGTGTGCGCCACCACTGCCTGGCTTATATTTCACAGGTTTAAGAAAAAAATTATGTGGGACAACAACAACAACAACAAAAAACAATGAATAGCCAAAACAATCCTAAGGAGTAAGAGCAATGCTGACTTCAGATTATAGCACAGTTATTGTGATAAAGACAGCTGTCACAGGTATAAAAGGAGACACATAGGGCTTAGAGAGTTGGCCCTAGGGTTAAGAGTATGTAATGCTTTTGAAGCGACCTGGGTTCAGTTCCCAGCACCCACAGTAGCCCACAACCATCACTAACCCCAGTTCCAGGGAATCAAACACCATCTTCTGACCTCTAAGGGTACCAGACACACAAGTGGTGTACATACATACATACAAGCAAACTCATACACAAACATTTACAAGTCTAAGAAAATTATACTAAATAGATTTGTAGACCAACGGGATGGTAGAGGACCCAGAAATAAAACTGTGTGGTGCCTACTTAATTTTTAAAGGAGATTAAGAACAGAATGGGGGAGAAGAAAGCTGATTCAACAAATGGTACTGGTGAAACCAGACATCTACCTATGGAAGAATTAGATTAGACATTTTCCACCTTATACAAAACTCAGCCGAACTCAAGGATCCAAGGCCTTCATTTAAAACATGAAACACTGGAACTTTTAAAAGAAAACATAGGAAATACTCTCAAGACAATGGGGCAGGCAAGAATTTCTTAATGGAACATCAATATAGCACAGGAACAAGCCCCAAGTATTAACAGACTGGGTTACATGGAAATAAAAGACTGAGTCAGGTTAATTTCATTATGTGATGTTTATATTCACAAGATCTTGATAATCAGTTTTAATTTTAAAGAATTTAAAAACAGAATGATGATATGATCCAAATACTACACCTCTAGGTAAACACCCAAAATAATTAAAACCAAGGAAATGACTAGACAGATTCTATGCCCACATTTAAAGTAGTAGTCACAATGGTCGAGAGCTGGGCACAACCTAAGTGTCTACCACTGCGTAAATGGATAACCAAGAAGGCGCACACAAACACACACACATAACTCTGCCTTTGGAAGAAAAGTGGGCTGGGGTGTAACTCCAAGGCAGAATGCTAGGGCTTAAATAAAGGTCCCTGGCTCAGTTCCATTGCTGATCAAGGAAAAACAAATACAAAATCTGGCACATGTTACAACAAAGTGAACACTGACAACATGATCTGAGTGATAAGACTAGTCACAAAAGGCCAAATGCTGTGTGACTCTACTTATAAGATACTAGTCACAAAAGGCCAAATGCTATGTGACTCTACTTATAAGATACTAGTCAAATAGGCCAAATGCTATGTGACTCTACTTATAAGATACTAGTCAAATTCTCAGAGACAGAGTAGTAGTTACACAAGAACAGACAATAGGGAGTTATTGTCTAATGGGCAAAAATTTCAGTTCTTGTCAGGCACAGAGGCACACACCTTTAATCCCAGCACTCGGGAGGCAGAGGCAGGTGAGTCTCTGCTGTGAGTTCAAGCCTGGTCTACAGAGTGAGTTCCAGGACAGCCAAAGATACACAGAGAAACCCTGTCTCAAAAAACAAACAAAAACCTTAGATCTCAGCCGGGCGGTGGTAGTGCACGCTTTTAGTCCCAGCACTAAAGGAAGGCAGAGGCAAGCAGATCTCTATGAGTTGGAGGTCAGCCTGGTCTACAGAGCAAGTTCTAGGGCAGCAAGGGCTATTACACAGAGAAACCCTGTCTCAAAAAATCAAATACAAACAAAGAAAGAATTTCAGTTCTGCAAGATGAAGCTAGTTCTGGAAAGGGAGGGACAGTGGTGACGACTGCATGTCAGTGTCTAAAGTCACTGAGCTACACACGCAGACACACACACACACAGACAGCAAAACTTACTTTTACTTGTTGAGGCAGTTTCTTGTGTAGCACAGCTGGTCTCCAAAGACCTTACGTGGATTTTTTTGGCTCCACTTCTCAAGTACTAAACAAAACTTTCTTGACCTTGCATTTCTTGCCCTTCTCACATAAACATTTTGTAAAAGTAACTATATGTCTTTACTCTTCTGTAGCTTCTCTGAAAAACCTCCCATTCTTTTAAGCCCACAAACCTTCCAGTCTTAGTAACTTTTCATCCCTCCCCCTGTTGCATCTGAGAGACTCTGCCTTACAACTCTCTCCATTTACTTCCTAAGAATCTTCCTCCACGTGATGGCTGGTGGTAGCACATACCCACTGTGGAACAATCTTTTTGTACCTTATGAACATGTATTCTGCTCACTGGCTAATGAAGAGCTGACTGGCCTATAGCTGGGCAGGAGGAGATTAGGTGGGAAAACCAGACTAAGGATGCTGGGAGGAAGAAGGGCGGAGTCTGGAGTCTCCAGGAAGAGGCAGAGGGAACAGGAAATGAATGTGCCATGCTAATAAAGGTACTGCCACAGGGCAGAGCATAATAAGGAATATGGGATAATTTAAATTCTAAGAGCTAGTTAGTAATAAGCTTGAGCTATTGGCCAAGCATTTATAATTAATATAAGCCTCAATGTGTTTTATTTGAGAGAAGCCAGGACAAGAAAAATCCACCAACACACACCTTTAATCCCAGCACTCTGTAGGCAGAAGCAGAGGCAGGCAGATCTCTGTGAGCTCAAGGTCAGCCTGGTCTACAAAAGCTAGTTCCAGGACAGGATCCAAAATTACAGAGAAACCCTGTCTGAAAAAATCAAAAGGTAAGAATTTAAAAATTGAAAAAAAAAAATTAAAAGCAGTTGCTGCTCCAGCAGAGGATGTGTTTGGCAGCCACATCTGGTGGCCATGTATATACTCACACAGAGGCATACATGTCCATAATTTAAAGTATTTGTTTGTTGGTTTTTTGAAGACAGGGTTTCTCTGTGTATTCCTGACTGTCCTGGAACTCACTCCTGGAACCTGGCTGGCCTCAAACTCAGAGATCCATTTGTCTCTGCCTCCCAAGTGCTGGGATTAAAGATATGGGGTCCACCACACCTGGTTAATTTAAAATGATTGTAAGGAGAATCAGCTCAGAGGTTGACAGCACTTGGGCTCAATTCAAACAACTAACTACATGGCAGCTCACGACTTCCTGATCTCCAGTTCTAGCAGATCACACTTTCCTCTGACCTCTGTGGGCACTATGCATACACATAAAAATATTTAAACCTTTTAAATAAATTTTAAAAATCTTTCAATAGCCACTTGTAGCTCGAGGCTATCATATTGGCACTGTTCTAGACCACTCTAACATATACTGTCTTCTGGCTTGTATCAGGGGATTAATTTTTCCTATCACAAAAGACAAAAATTAGAAATACCTGGTCTCAAAAGAGCTAAATACTTGTTCACAAGCCTTTCACTATGAAAAACCATAACATGACTCTTGAAAATTCTGAGATCTGGGCTCTGGGCTCTCTGAGAAAATTCTGAGATCTGGGCTCTCTGTAGCCTTTCAGAGTGGTTTATCCCAAGTGTTATCCAACCCTAATGTACTAACGATATTCTCTAGGTATTCAAAGCAAAAGACAGCATCCTACCATCTTCACAATGTAGTAGGCCATAGCGTGTAAGTGCCGGCTGGAAGTCCCACTACCAATTACAAAGTAGTCTGTGTATTTCATTTCTGGAGGAACCTTGATCACACAAATGTCTCTTGCATTTTCTTGCCTCAGAAGTGAAACCAGCATATCGATGTCAAACTTGGAGCCAATGTGATCTGAAAAGCAGAAGTACTTGTGTCAGATGGCCAAGGAAAAGACAGACCTACAGGTATCCAGAGAAGCAGACTGACACAGAAGTCTCCTGGAGGGTGGCGCTGCTCCTCCAAGAGTGTATTTATATCCAGAATGCTTTGGTAAACACCAGGCAGGAGGATCCCAAGTTTAAGACTAGCCTGAGCTAGTGAGACAATGTCTAAAAAACATTTAAAAAGCAAAAACAAATCCACAAACTAAAAAGCCTGAGCTGAGAACGTGGTTCAGTAGAGGAATGCCTGCCCAGCATGTTCAAGGCCCTGGGTCCAATCCCCAACACCATCTGCACTCAAAACCCACCCAACCAACCGAAACTCAGCTCAAAACTGAACCTGGGCCACAGTTTCATAAAGCACAGCTCGGCTTTTCTAGGCAGACATTGAATACGCCCATTGCTGTTAACCAACTGCAAGCAGTAGCAAATGCCCTTCTATCCCCTACAAAAGGTTACTGAATTAATCCCAGCACTCGGGAGGCAGAGGCAGGCAGATCTCTGTGAGTTCGAGACCAGCCTGGTCTACAGAGCTAGTTCCAGGACAGGCTCCAAAGCCACAGAGAAACCCTGTCTCGAAAAACCAAAAAAAAAAAAAACCCAAACAAAAAAAGGTTACTGAATTGTAATTGTGGGGAGGTGGGTTCTCAAGCAGTATCTGGTCCACAGGCTGCCAGGACAAGTGCTGCCGAGACCAATAACAGCATAAGAGGGTCCCGAAACATCATGTTTTTCTTACTAAGCAATCTGGGTTAACAATTGTTAACCTGGTGGGTTTTTTTTTCTTTTTGTTAGAGATTTAGACACTTGTTCTAAAAACGAATACTGGAGTGTATAAATCTGTATTATTTCTAAGTTCATAGCTGACTCCAAGGGACCTGAAAGTCCATCAAAGGCTCCCTCTCATATTCTAGCATCTTTCAGATAGTATTTCTACTGTTGTTATTGACCTCTCGTGCTTCTAAAACCGCTGGCAGTAACTGGGCCCCCAACTCCTCTTAACTCTTACACTACCCGGAGCTCCAGGCTGCTCAGACTGTTTACGCCCAACTCTCTTAAAAATCCATTTCCTACAACCCTGGGTAGGGGTGAGGACCCTGGGGCTGTGATACCAAGCAAGGACCGGGTGTGAGCAGCTGGGGTTTTGAAGACCGCAAGTCTCCTGGCCTCCCAGGCTCTTCGTTATGCAAGAGGAAAGTTGGCGCCAGCCACCTCTCAGTCCCTTCTAGCTCTGCCTAAGTTCTGCGACTCAGCCCCGAAGCGCACAGAAAAGCCCAGGGCCGCCCGGGGCAGGCCGGGCCACTAGCTGTCCGCCCGCGTACCTGCGGCTCCCGGGTGCAGCCGAGCCTCGCCATCGGGCCGCTCCTGCGGCTGAGGTCCACGGTGCAGGCCGCGCGCTGGGCTCGGGGTCGGGCCGGCCTCCGGCCCCGCCGAAAGCCATCGCTCTGCCAGCCGAGGAAGCTGGGGAACCGAAGACGCCGCGGGGCCCGCTCTCTGCGAGACTACCGTGCGCCAGAGCAGCGGCCACAACCGCCGCGCAGGACCCATGGCTGTGGCGGCGGCTTCTCCGGGGGCAGGGCCCTCAGCGCGGCTCCGCGATTCTACGTCATGGCGGGGGCGGAGCCACGGCCGAACGCGGAGACTAGGACGATTGGCCGAGGAGTAATGTTTTAAAAAGTGAAGGGAAGCCGGGCGGTGGTGGCGCACGCCTTTAATCCCAGCACTCGGGAGGCAGAGGCAGGCGGATCTCTGTGAGTTCGAGACCAGCCTGGTCTACAAGAGCTAGTTCCAGGACAGGCTCCAAAGCCACAGAGAACCCCCCCCCCAAAAAAAAAAAGTGAAGGGAGCAGTGGTGGTGAGCACCTGCAGTTCAAGGTCTGAAGAGTTCCAGGACAGCCAGCGTTACATAGAGGAAAAACCTTGTCTCGAAAAAGACCAAGAAAAAAAAAGAGTCCAAATAATCTTTATGGGGCATGAATTTGCTACTTCTTGCCATGTTCGCCATCTGTTCTGTGTTCCCACATGAACAGCCCAGATGTGTATCATCAGCTGTATTTGTTGTCAAGGATTATCTGCATATGCTACAGAACTTTATATGACCACAAGGAATCAGTGCAGTTATACATTAGCAGCCATGGTGACATGTTCTGAATAATTACGCAATGTCATTGTGCAAACGTTATACTTAAACTAAGCTGAAACGTTACCAGGCATTGGAATCTGGGGCCGAAATGTAGCCCTCCCTTTAGCCTCATATTCTCATAGAAGGTATTTACACAGTCTCCGTGGCAGCTTGAACTTCACATGAATTTGGGACAGGAGAGATGATTCACCCAGTAAGAGCACACTGGTTGCTCTTCCAAAAGACCAGTCCCAGGGATCCAATGCCCTCTTTGGCCTCTGAAGGCACCAAAAACACAGGTGGTGCAGTGGTAGACATGCAAGCAAAACACCCATACATGTAAAATAAAACTGTCCTGTAATAAAACAAAAACCTGAAAAAGCCATAAATACAAATTTATGAAATATATTTCCATTAAAAATATTTTGTGTCCGGGGCTGGAGAGATGATGGTTCCGTGGTTAAGAGCACTGACTACTGTTATTCCCTAGAAGGCCCCTGAGCATAGCTCACCTGGGGAACTACATTTCCTGGGAGCCCCTACTGGTCCACGCAATTGCCTGCACAGAGAACGTGGCATTTGACGCACGTGCGTGGGGAACTCTTTAAAAGCTGGAAAGCCGTCTGTTGGTTCTTTTTTCCCCCTTCTCTCCTGCATGCTGCAATAAAGCTGTGCTCCACGTGGGTTTTGTTGTGTCTTGCATCCTTTTGCGTAGGAAGAAGAACAAGAAGAGCAAGCAAGAAGCAGACAGAACAGAAGAACATTGGTGCCGAAACCCAGGAGACCCGCCCGCCCCGGATCTCCACTCGGGGCTGGAGCTTCGGCTTTGCCTGGAGCTCCTTCCTCGTTCTGGGGCACGATCAGGACCGAGGACCGCTCCACAACGAGACCCACGTAGCTCAATCGTGAGTTTTCCCTTTCGGCTAGCTGAACGGCCCCTCTCACCCGGCTTTCTCTGGCGTGTCCTGGGTAAGGGATGCTAACACTCACTCCCCCCCCACAACCCCCCTTCCACCCTTGGCTGGACCTGTGTTTTCACCTGCGCCTGTAAGCTCGGAGCTTCCAGTTCTCACCTCTTCTTTCTGCTCTTTTTCTGTCCTCTTTACGTACTGGCTCACTACGGTGTAAGCACATCTGCTGCAACGGGCAGCCTCCTGGCCTGACTGTTTCCCTCTTGCTCGGGATTTTGTCTCCCATTGGAGGCTAGAGTCGATTCAGTCAGGCTATAACACTGCCCCCTGGTCACTCGGACGCCTGTGTCCAGGGCTTGCCAGTGTTCGTGGCATCTTTTGGGTGCCTTTTGAGGGTGTTTCCACGGTTCTAGCCATGGGTGCTAAGCCTTCAAAAACAATTCCCCTGTCCTCTCCCCTAGGACAGCTTTTGGAAACTCTTCAACCTCACGCCCTAATTCCTTCCGTTAAGTTATCTACACTCATCCATCTCTGCTCAAAAACATGGCCAAAATATTCGTTAGACGGAAATTTTAAATGGCCTCCTCATGGCTCCTTTGACCCTGATATTCTTTTTTTATTTATTTATTTATTTTACATATATAGTGTTCTGGGCACCAGATCTCATTATAGATGGGTGTGAGCCATCATGTGGTTGCTGGGAATTGAACTCAGGACCTCTGGAACAGCAGTCAGTTCTCTTAACCTCTGAGCCATCTCTCCAGCCCTGACCCCGATATTCTATGGCAGTTAGCTAACTATTGCCACCGTTCAGCTAAGTGGAAAGAAATGATGTATATAATGGCGTTCTTTTACATGGCCCTTAAAACTGACCCCTCCGCTGCTGCTCACTGTTCACCTGCCCACATGTTCTTAGCAATGCCATCCCTCCAGGAACCCTCTGCTCCTGCCATGGACCCTGCAGACGAACCTCCACTGCCCCCCCCCCCCCCCCCCCCCCGTCTCGGAGAGCCACCTCCTCTGCCCGGTCAAGTGACACCTCACCTAAGCCTTCTTCTTCCCAAGTTTCTTCCAGGCATTCAAAGCCCTCACCTGAGCTTTCTCACTATGACACCTCATGTAAATCTTCCAGTTCTAGGTCTCCAGAAGTCCCACGTAGATCTTCCAGGTCCAGGTATAAGAGAACCTCACCTAACCTTTCTCCTTCTAGGTCCCCGGAGACCCCACCCAAATCCTATTCCAGATCTAAGAGAATCTCACTTAAACACCTTCTTCTGCCAGCAGGTCTCCATCCGGCTCCTCAGGCTCCGCTTCCTCCCACCCCGCTGTCGTAGGTCATACAGGTTATCAGAAGCCTCTTCAGATTCATCCTCCCCATCTCCCTCCCGCCCTACTCGGCCTCCTCGGTCTTCCAAAGCCCCACCGAGTTCCCCTCCTCTCGAGCTGGCTGTGTGGTGCTAGCACCTTCCTTCACTCCTCCACTCACGCGTTCACGTGCCTCCACGGAGCCTAATCCTAACCAAGCCAAGCCTGCTGCCATCCTGCCACTGCGGGAGGTGGCTGGTGCAGATGGATTGGTTAGGGTACATGCTCCGTTTTCCCTGTCGGAACTTTCCCATATAGCCAAATTACTTGGGTCCTATATATCTAATCCTACCACTTTTATACATGTGCGATCGACTGGGAAAGTCTATGGCCACTACCCAGAACCAGGGAAAATATTATATACCACACATTGCTATCCTGATGGGAAAAAAATCAAAATTCAAAGCCCCCAATAGCTCCCAACACTCTGTTCCTTTCCCACTACCACACAGTCTGGGAAATTCCTTGTGTGTATTTTCTGGTTCATTGGTTATCTCTCTAACTATGTTTAGTATGCTGTTAAGCCCTTTTGTAACACTAAGACAAATTACGAAAAAATAATTAACACACAAAATCCTAGCACTAACTAGATGTTTTGGTAGGAAAAAATTACTTTATATGTGATGAGATAATTGTGGGGTGTATTTTTTTAAAAGGTCTTATTTTTTGTAGAAAAATATACTGAAATATTTTGGGGTAAAATGATATAATTTCTGGGATTTTCTTTAGAAATTAGAATGATTAGGGCCATCGTTGGCTTAGTAGGTAAGTGTATTCTCCATTTAAGCCTGGTGACCTAGGGTTGATCCTTGGAACTAAAGGCGGAAGGATAGAACCAATTCCATGATGTTGCCTCTGACACCACACATGCACCACACTGCACGCGTGACCCCAGTCATCCGCGCTCTCTCTCTCTCTCTCTCTCTCTCTCTCTCTCTCTCTCTTACACACACACACACTGATAATAAATTTAATCAAACAAATTAAAAGGACTAAAGAGATCAAATAGATAAAGTTGACCATGAATTGAACAATGATTTGAGCCTACACTGTGTCAGCGTTGTGAGTTGTTTGTTTTTGGTTTGTATTTGAAATCTTCCAGTCTAAAACTAAAAATCAAACACAAATTAAAATAAAACCAAAACAGAAAAATGATTAGAACTAAAAGTTCTAATTTTTAGTATCATGATTTTGGTCTCAAAAAGCTTTTAAGTGGAAGGCCCATCAAGACAAAGTTTTTTTTTTTAATAAAGATTTACTTATTTATTATGTAAACAGTGTTCTGTCTTCATGTATGACTGCATGCCAGAAGAGGGTGCTAGATCTCATTACAGACGATTGAGTCACCATGTGGTTGTTAGAAATTGAACTCAGGTCCTCTGGAAGAGCAGCCATCTCTCCAGCCCAGTTGGTTCTCTTGTGTTGCTTTAGCAGTCTGTCAGTTTCAACTTCCTCTTCCTAAATATATGAAATAGGCTCAATTTTATCTTCAAATTCTAATGCTTGTTATATTACCTAGTCTGGTCCTGAACTCCTGGGCTCAAGGGATCCTCCTGCCTCAGCTCCTTGGGCTGAGTCCACGCCACCATGCCCAAATGAGAGACATTTACTTTATGTTCAATATCTGCAGTGGTTGCCAGTCTGTTTCTGTTGGCTCATTCATAGAGGATTGTTTGTACATGTGTTCAGGGAGCTGCTTTCAATTGCGACTTCATGTTCTTGAGGTTTTGTCTGTGGCTTGGCATTCCTGCAGAGAAAGTTCACATGGTTTCTGCCAGGCAGACAGAAGCATCCAGAAACACTTTAAACATGATGTTTAGCTTTTACTTTTTGTGTTGAGTTCTTTTTAATAAGATTTATTTGTATTTACATGTCTGTATAAATGCCTACCACCCGTGTGTGGATCCCCTGGAGCTAGAGTTACAGGCGGTTGTGAGCTGCCTGATGTGGGAACTGAACTTGGGTCCTCTGGAAAGATGACAATCAGCACTCTTACTGCCTGCACCACCTCTCTAGGCCCTGTAAATTCTTGTTGAGCTCACATGCACAGAGGCCTCTGGTTAGGAATTCTGTTCTCTTCAGCTTCCAGACCCAGCACACGACCCTTCCCCCATCCCCTTCCAAGTAGGTCTCTGACTAAGAACCCTGGCCTTATGCAGGAGAGTCGTGCGTGGCTGTGGCAGGGTGGAGGAT